TAGGATTAATACGAGATGACGAACGAGGCGGCGGTGCGGGGATTGTCGACACGAGTGGACCTATTGTTTAGCGGGAATTTCGGCCATTAATTCGGTTTAAGTGTTGAGGGAATCACTAATCGTTGGGCACTATTGGGTCACTACTTCACTAATCGCATCATTTTTAGTATAGCATTGCATTCGCTTTATATTATAGTGATTTTGGTTAACATTTTGCACCATTTGTTTTAGTCAATTAAAATGCACTAGATACTGTAACATATATTGAAATTAATAAATGTATTCAACCAAAGCATAAATGACACCAAATTTAGAGTGAAAACAAGATTTTTATTTAAATAAATGGTCACAAAAAGGCACTAATCCGTCAAAAATGAAAGTATAATCGCAAACATAATTCAATTGATATGTAAATTCGTTTCTGATATGTAAAACATTTTCATCAAATTAAAAGTAATTACGGAATGAATAGAAAATTCAATAATAACTTAATAGACATCAAGTTATAACAAGAAAACAAAAATCATAAAATTGAAAATCAAATAATACTAAATAAATCTAGATTTGAGTAAAATTACATTCAAAAATATAATGCATTTCAAAAGTAATGAGTTTTATAATGCTTTTGAAATAATGATTAATAAACAGTATTATAAATATTGACAATAATTAAAGCTTTGATTTGTTGATAAATGTTAACAAAATTGCATTGAATGTCAAACCAATCATATAATCCAATCACCTTTTTTGCCAACCGATGAATCCATGGAACCGATCGATTGGAGCAGTTTTCTGGCGGTCGACGTCTGACCGCCGATTGTCGAGTTGTTGGCCGTCGAGGGCGGCGACGGCTTCGAGAATGTCTGCAATTCGTCGAGAAGTGTGTCCAACACATTGGTTTTGGAGGCGTCGCTGGGCAGAGGTGTGGCCGGAGTCACCTGAATGATGGTATGCGGCTCCATATCCGACTCATACATCTGCACAGGTAGTGGTAATCGCGTTCATTAATACACAAATCAATGCTTACAATCACTTCTAGTCTACTGTCACGGAGACATCGATAAACATAGTATTACTTCACTATTCAAACAAAGTCTGGCTTTTGTTTGGACGGAAAGAAATGTATTACAAAAATATCAATAATATCTATAAGTAATGTATGAGTGGATTGAATGGTGAAATGAATTGGATATTGAAATGAATGAATGGATGAAAGTATGAAATGATTGAGTGGTGGTCTAATCAAAAACGGACCTGAGCATTGTGTTCATTGTGTTCTGGCATTGTAGGCATCGATGCGAATCCCCGCCACAGACTGCATATTACCGTTTAATTAAGGATTTTTCCAAATTTTTGTTTCAGAAAAATCAAAATTTTACAATTTGTATTCAATTGCTTTCACAGTATAAGTTCATTGCATTCAATAGCAAAAGTGAGATATATTTTAGTCTGTTTTGAGTAAAACGAATGCAAACGTCCGGCAAAATCATGTATTTTAGGTTTAATTAAGAAATCAATTATTCAAGTGTTTTGGCTAAATGGCATGCACTTGAGATATGCACAGGTAGTTTCAATTGGAAAGTCAATTTCAATAGCAGTCACACATGTAGTTAAACACATGCAGTCTGTTTTGTGGGAAACATTGTTCGGGGAATTAATATTGTATTAAAGTTTGCAATGAATATAGTCTCGTAAAATGGGCCGACCTTTGGGTTTGATTACAAAATATTCAATTAAACCAATTAAACACAAATGTAAAACTCATAGCCTTTTAATGGCACACATTCGAGGACTGGATTAATGATTAATAATTAGTAAATTTCAGGCATAAGTACTCGACATAAGAATGAATGCATAAAAACGTTAATTATAATATACAGCGGAATCTATTTGATTAGTTACTGTTAAGCTAAGCATAACAAAATCAATTCACAATCAAATTGATCTCAATTTAAATTTAACTTTCATTTTTATTCGACTGTATATTATATTTATTTGATAAACTTTCAAATTTCAATCAATGGTTTTATAAATACTTTTGGGAATTAAGTGTCAAAAGTCTGAGGTTTCAATAAAAGGCTAAATCAAAAGTTTACTCGATTTTGTGATTAACATTATCTCGAAAGTTAGGGCTCCGACGCCATGACTGCATACGTTTGGCCTGAATTTCAATCATAATTACAATTAATTCGTGTTTTGTTTCAATAAAGTGTTGGTTTTCAAGAATTAGGAAAAGGTTTTTGTTTTGTACTGTATTTCCAAAACGTTTCAACGGTTTAGTAGTGAATCGTGATTTTCGGCTAAAAATTACTTATAACTAAAAAGGGCTACAAAAACATTTGTCATACTCTAGAGCCGAGGTCTGTGCTGTCGGTTGACGCCGACTGTAGGAGCTGTGATGGGGACTGGTTTGTAGTCGACCTCTGCTCCTGTACTGACGCCAATCTAATCATTGAATTGAGTCAAACATTAGGTAAACGCTCAAAACGTTTCATATAATTAATTAAATACCTTTTGAGTGTAACCAGAGTTCCGGTGAGTTTTTTACACCTCTTGAGCGCTGTCTCTAACCGGTCGGGCTCTTCCTTCAGGAATCTATTCATCAAAATAGCATTGTCTTAGAAATTGGTATTCATTTCTTAAAGCACTACAAAGTTATACTTCTCTTCTCTGACACAACACTCCATTTCTTGACTCATAACAGACTTCAACGATTGGTTTAGCGGCGGAAACC